CTGTGGTATTTTCTTTTTGCCTGAAGGACACATTTCTTGTGTAGATCTGCTGGTACTGAATTCTTTCCGCTCTTGCAGGCCTGAGAAAGTCTTCCTTTCAATTTTATTTTTGGAAAGAGATTTTTGCTGGGTATAAAATTAATTTTAAGTTAACAGCACTTTTCTTTCAATATTAAAAAAAAAAGGGGGGGGGGGCTTGCTTTTTCAGCTTTGTTAGGCAGGACCGGTGCAACTGTCAGTCTTGGAAAATACCCTTCTGAGCACTTCAGAAGATGCCCACCCAGTGCAAGGTTCTCACTCTAGCTGTGGAAACACCAACTACTTCCGGCCCCATGTGAGCTCCAGGGCTTGTTTTGCTCCTTCCTCATGGTTCTCTCCCCAACTCCAAACGCTTTCCTCACATGTGGCTGCGGATCAGTACTCCGCTGCGGGCCTGAGCAGAAAGAACCTCTGTGTGTCCTCTCTGGCTCTCCTCCTCCCTCCCTCCTGCTCTGCATGGCACTCTTCTCTGGTACTCTGCCCTGTGAACTCATCACGTTGGCCTCCCGAAATTCTCCCCTCCGCGATCTCAATTCAGGGAGACCACTGGGATCTATGTGGGCTCCTCGCCCTTCGGTGTGGCCTGGAACCTCTCCGGACAGTAAGCCAGGGCAGTGATAACGCCCATCTTGCTTCTCTCTTTATGGGGCTTCCTCTGTCGCACTGCCTATTGTTAAATGTCTGAGAAACAGTTTATAGACAGCATATGTTTTGTTGTCTCGGGTGAGAGGTTAAAACTGGCCCCTATTACTCCATCATTGTTAAAATGTTTCATTTGGGTTCTTAATTAGAATTGATGGGGAAATGTGACATTCACATGATTGAGTTTTTCTTTTAGGAACATGGTATTTCAATTTACTTAGGCCTTCTTTTTAGTTTCTCCAGTGAGTTTTATGATCTTCCACATTCATACTGATGTCGCATTTAAAGGCCCCGGTATAGGCTCTTTAACTTCTCTCTGACAGCATCTTATTTAGACCCTGTAGCAGCAGCAACGTGGGGTCATGTAAAGGAAACCCTGGCTTCTGCTTTATCGCGTGGATTCTAGACCCACCCTCCTCCTCCCACCTGCAGATCAGAAGAAGGGGACCTGTTACCAGATCTTCTGCTGGCTTCGTTCCTGATCACTCTTTCATGATGGCAGAGCAGGGCTTCGGGCTTCGGACCGGGGTCTGGAGTCTGGATGAGAAAACGCTAGGAGCGGCCCTCATAGAACCCCACGGTGATGGAAATTGACAGAGAGCTTTTTCATTTTGGCATGGCTGGCCTGAGGCTTTTCTTCTGTTATTTATAGATGGGCATGGGTGAACTCAGAGAAGTAAACCCCAAAGATGGAACTACTGGTCTGTTGGGGGTCCCTTCATCTCTATCTGCTTGTGGGGTGCTCCCATCTATCTTATTTATACCCTGGGTCTCTTCTTTAAGAGACGGTTACTGATGCACAGAAAGCATGATCTCTAATAATCCCTCTGGGACAAACAGGCATTTGTGAGCTGGTTAGAGAGGTTGGGGAGGTGTGTTCTAAATATCAAACAGCAAATTTAGAAGCAAACTTGGAACATAAGGCCTTCCTACGTCGGGAACTCTGTTTCTTTATCACTCCCTCATGAAATGCCCATGTTTTGAGGGAGGAGAAAAGAGTCTCTTTTTTCTAGATCAGTGGTTCTCAACCTTCCTAATGCCACGACCCTTTAATACAGTTCCTCATGTTGTGGTGACCCCAACCATAAAGTTATTTTCATTGCTACTTCATAACTGTAATTTTGCTACTGTTATGAATCGTAATGTAAATATCTGATATGCAGGATGTATTTTCATTGTTACAAATTGAACATAATTAAAGTATAGTGATTAGTCACAACAATATGTAATTATATATGTGTTTTCCCATGGTCTTAGGCGACCCCTGTGAAAGGGATGTTCGATCCTCAAAGGGGTCGCGACCCACAGGTTGAGAACCGCTGTTCTAGAGAGACCGTGGCCTAGCCCACACCCATTGCCACCGCACTGGGGCTGTCCCAGCATGAACACTGGCGAAGCAGTCAAAATCAGTGCGTCTAGCAAGCACTGATTGAAATCATCTCTTGCCATAAGGACAGTAATAAACGGAAGACACCTTAACTGCTACAGTTCACACCAGATGGGCAAGCACACATCCGAAGTAATGAGTTGGTTACTTACAGCTGTGCCATGTGTCTAGATCTTCGATTAATCTCTTGAGCATATATAAACCCATCACCTACAATGGCTCAAACCTTCTGAGTGGAACTTTTCAGAGATCAGGCTCCTCCCTTAATTCAAAATACATTTCTGAAGAACCAAGGGGCAGGTGAAATATAGCTTATTTTCATTATGCCTGTGTGCGTGGATCAACTTGTACGAAGCATCAGAGCAATGATGAGGCAAATAAAACAGCGACAGGGAGATTTTAAAGCAGTTGACTATACTCATGTAACACCCCTCCCCTTTTACTCCGCTAAACAATCTTATGTATCTAACACCCACGTCTCTAAAATGGGGGTGCATTTGGACTTTTTGAAACAGTGAGCTTAGTGCCTCACTGAACACTGGTCCACTCTCTGACAGATATATTGGAGGAAAAGCACACAGCATGTTAGTCCCACAACATGCAATGCACTCGGACACTGGAGACACATCCCATCCCAAGTAGGCATCATGCTAGTTCAGGAGCAGATAACCTGTATTGCTTGGGTACACCTATGACCAATGGTTTGCAACCCTGAGGCATATTAGCATCACCTGCAACACTTCTACAGTACCATGCCCGCCCCAGACCAAATAAATCAGAAGCTCTGTTCTAGGCCCCTGGCATTGCTGTTTATGTTCTGCAGGTCATTCTAATGTACAGCCAGGGTTGCGAACCACTACTAGATTAGAGTGGTGGTAGCTATTGGGCCAATATTCAAGTATTCATGCAGGGTAGATTTTTAATTTGTGCTTTAAAGCAGTAATTAACTCTTTAGTCTTCCCAAGGACATTTCCAAGTATGGTAAAACTGCTTATGTCTGTGTCTCTAATATTTAGCGTAAGGGGTTAACAATCACGTGTGAGTGTGTGTGTGTGTGTGGTGTGGTAGTCCTGTAATTCTGCTTCCTATATAGCTTTTGAATTTTCCCCTTTTCCCCTGTTGCCACATCCTTAGTTCAGGTCTTCATCATCTCTCCAGTCTTGTTGCCCCTTCCCCACCTTTGTCTAGCACTGTTCCCAGTGTTTCTCTTAAGCCCCAGACACATCTTTCCTCTCACACTCTCTTCAATGGATCCCTCCATCCAGAAAAATCTGTGTCCTCATCTGGGGGCACAAGGCCTTTCATGATGAGGATGGAGAGTCTCATCGAGACAAAGGTCCCTGTGGGTCCTTGCCGGTCCCTTAATGAGCAGTTGTCGCCAGCTTCTGAGCCTTTGCCTGGACAGCTGGAACCTTACCCCGTCCTGCCAGAAGTCCCCCTTCAAGGCTCTTCTTCCAAGTAAAACCTCTGATCTTCCCACTCTTGTTCCCACTCCCGACGTCTTCACTGCCTATGCTAATACCTATATAAGCCTTGAGTGTGTCTGCCAGAGTGAGTGGGTGCTAAGAAAATATAGTGCATGAACAGACATTTCATTTATCACACCATCAAAATTTTAAATCTGTCTTCCCTATTAGATTCGAAGTTTTCTCTAGAGCAGCGGGTAACATGGTATGCAATACAAAAAGCAAAGCTTTTGGAGACGAGTTTGGGTTAAAAACTCTGCTCTGTCATTTACTAGCTGTAGGATCTTGGGCAAGTTTAAGTTTCCTCAGCTACAAAATGGGAGTGACACCTCCTCAGAGAGTTGTGAGGATTAACATGATGTGTGTAATATCAGACACATAGTAGGCAAACAGCTGTTTTTCCCCTTGCCTCCAATTTACCAAATATTCTGCAAAATTCATAACACTGCACTACAAAGCTTGTGTTTTGGATTTTATGCTTCCAGGTGACCCACTGTCTCAATTCTATAAAAGTTCAGTTTTTGTCAGATTTGAAAACCTTCTTTTTTCCCACCTTAGTCATCTAGGGAATATTATACCTATTATTTTACTTAATCCTCAACAGTTCTTTGAATTATTATTCCCATTTTTCATAGCCAAGAAAACAGGAGCAGAAAAGAAGGTAATGGATTTTCTTTCAGTAGGGCTAGGGCATTTCAGAACCCTGTCCATGGCCTTGAAGTTCTGGGCTCTGTCCTTTATGCCTGTTGCCCTACATTCAGTCTTATGAATGCTTGCTTTTAAATGCAACCACTGCCCAGCTGGTGCAGCTAAGTGGGTGAATGTCGATCCATACACCAAGAGGTCATTGGTTCGATTCCGGTCAGGGCACATGCCCAGATTGCAGGCTCAATCCCCAATGGGGGCATGCAGGAGGCAGCCAATCGATGTTGATGCTTCTCTCTCGATATTTCTCTCTCTTCCTCTCCTTTTCTCTCTAAATCCAATAAAAACATATTTTAAAAATAGGTACATGCAACCACTAAGCTTCTTGAAATTAAAACCAACACTCCAATAACGATTGTTTTAAGGGCAAAAGTTATAGTAGTTATTTTAATTTTTAAAAAATAAAAAATATATTTAAAGAAGAGTTTTTTTCAGCCCCATAATTTGGAACTGAATAGTGGATGTCACAACCTCTCTGACTGGACTCAGCTGCTTGGAGCCTTGGTTCCTTCATCTCTAACTTAAGAACAATGATAGTACCTGCCTTCTGCGAATACGAGGACTAAACGAGCTAACAAGTGCACTTCCAGTGCAGGCGGAGCAGGTCAGGCCCAGGGCAGGGCTCGGCATCTATCTCGCCAGAATGTGAGGTTGTCCGTTAATGTGCTCCATCACAGGAAAGAAGACACAGAGGAAACATTCACTCTTCAACACCTTTTGCTTCGTTGAGAACTCTAATAACAACAAAAAAAGCACCCAGAGACAAATAAAAAGTAACTTTATTGACTGTTGATCTTACCATGAAATGCCTATAAGAATAATTACAAAATAATGCAGTTCGTTTTTTACACACTTTTGGTATCATCCCGATATGACGATCCTTTCACAGAAAGGATTCTTTACAATTTGTGTAGATAGAAAGCTCACTGTTGCAAATACAAATGTAGAAGCAGTGCATACCAAATCGGTACACTAACTTAGCAATGGACATTAACAAATGCAGAATAAATAACAGCTTTATACTTTTCTTTTTTTATTTTTTAAAACAATTTCCAAATACAAAAATGTAGGTATTCAAAATGGATTTCCATATACATATATATACTTCTGCTGCAAACAGTGGATCACAAAACAAAAGTGTCCTCAGCATGTTTCATTCTTGAAAACCCACAAGACGATGCATCAATCCAATTAGAAAGAAGGTGTGCAAAACCCCCAACTGTGCTGACAGAACCCTGAAGGCGCGACTCAGGTTGAAGTTGAGAGAAAATAAAGTAAAAAGCGCTACCTAGTCCATACATGTATGTTTTCTTCTTGGTCTTTGCAAGAAACACTGAGAGCTGAGGAAACACGGCACGTTGTGACGGGGCTCTTTACAGTCCAACTTCCCCAGGACTTGTCCCTTCAGCATCTACAGGAAACGGTGAACTATTTGATGACGTCTAAGAAAAAGAGTCACTAGATGATCCTTTCACACTCTCACCCTTTCATACAGAGGCTGAGATACTTTTATACATTCTGGTATCTGAAACTTTGGTTCTTTCAAAACATTTGATAAAAGTACAATAATTCCATGACTATACAACTCTATAGAATTTTTTTTTTCCTTTTAAAGTGTCAAGTTAGACTGACTTGACCAGGCTTGTGTGCACACGGCCCTGCCACGCCCGCGTGGGCATGCGGGGCACAGCACAGGTGGGCGTGCTCCCGTGTGTGTCTGTAATACTGACTCCCATCCATGGGTAACACTGTGTGTCCTGCCGTCTCCTAAATCTACATCTTTGTTACCTGAAAACTTAACTTTGTATAAAAATATGACTGTTTCTTTAGAAAATAATAGTGTTGCTTTTTTTTTTTTTAATAAAACCTGGAAGGTAGAAAAATGGTATATCAAAATATGGTAAACAAATGCTTTAAATATGAAATCATTAAAAACATCTCATAGAAAGACACTGTGCTAAAGTTCTCTCCTAAAGCGCGAGCAAGGCCGTGACATCTAAAGGCTAATGAGTTCATTCCCCGGACTTGGTTTCCTTCTATATCCTAACAGTAGTGGCAGAAACTGTCTCTAAAATGGCCCTTTCTCAACCACTAACATTTTCTGGATGCTTTTACATCAAAATTGAAAAGACATCCTCTGGATCCATGGTTTTCAGCTCTGCTGATACCGGCTCCATTTGGAGAACTTACAGGAAAAGGCAGTCCGCCTGGGTCTAATTAAATTCACTGGAGGTGGGACCCAGGCATTTTTTAAAAAACCTCTCCAAATAATTCTATTATGTAACCGGGGTTAAGAATCACGGCAAAAGACACATGAGAAATAGTCATTTTAAGCTATATGAGTCAACTGATTGTCTGTAGGCAGCATTCATTCAATGACGCATCCTCCACATTCAACAAGACCGGCCACGTACATGAGACCGTCACGGAAGCTTTACACACATATAAACACGCACTATCTCATGTCTTTATATATGTATAATAACATCTGGGGAGAGTTAGGGTGTTTCTGGTTAAGCAGAAACTAGCATTACCATAATTTGTTCTTGATTTATTTAAAAAACAAACACTAAGCACGAACATTTTCTAAGACATTTCTGTAGTTTTTAACAGAAAACAGTGTTGGAAACTCTACAAAATACATTGTGACATGAACACAGTTGCTCTATTATTTTCTGGAAGAGCAGGAGGAGGACGTGGCGCTGGGCACGGAGGAGTCACAGGCGCCGCACGCAGCATGCGGTCTTCGGGCACTGCTTCGCTCACGCCTGCCGGTACCACCCTGGGCTGCACTTCTGTCATGTTCATCTCTTTGGCTTGCTAGACGCACTGATCCTGACCGCTTCGCCAGGGTTCACGCTGGGGCAGCCCCAGTGCGGCGGCAGTGGGTGTGGGCCAGGCCCCGGTCCCTCCAGAGAAAGGAGACTCTTTTCTCCTCCCTCAAAACATGGGCATTTCATGAGGGAGCGATAAAAAAATGTACAGGCACACAACCCTACCATCATGCCCATGATAAAAACCATGATGTTATTACGTGGGACTGAACTAAAAAAAACAAAACGGTGAGCAAACACACCACGGTTCACTACTCTGAAGGCTGGGTAACCAGTAAAGCACATTTCCTTCCGAAGGCTCGTAAACTCCAGGCACTTGTCTTGCTGTACATTCTCTTCCACATCTGTGTAATACTTAAAGTGCAATTGTCCCACGGCTTTGTTTCCCGCGCAAATATAAAGAAAGAGCTGTGTTTTGGGTGAGGGAGATATGGCACGAGGAATAAGAAAGAACTCATGGCTTTCACGGCCCCCAGGGAAAGGGGCTGCCGTAGAGCTGCACGCAGACGTACTTTATACAACGAACTCCGGAACTTCATCATGAGTGAGGTCCAGAGAAAAGTATTTGCTGGTTCTTTTGACTGGAAAAGCGTCCTGGATGTTGACACACTGCTGAGCCAAGCAGCTGTTGCAGTAGAGGCCTTCCTCGTCCAGTTCGTGGCCACAGCCGAAGGTATAGCTCTGAGCAGTGTCTTGACACAGACCGGCGATGCGCAAGAAGTCTTTCTGGTAAAGTCTGATGTCATCGAGGCTCAAGCTATGCCGATCGGTGGAAGTCTTTGGTTTTCGACATATAGTCTGCAAAACAAGGGAAGTCTGAAACAACTTCAAGAGGATAGGCTCAAGTGAAAGGTTAGCAATAGCAGTATTTGCCCTGTTTACAGAGAGAGGCTGCAAAACTATATAAAGGGTTAAGGAACCCTGTATGTTAGAGAGGTTTCTAATCTAAAACACCCGGACCCCTGAGCAGAAAAATATCAGCACCACCAATAACAGGAATAGCAGCTAACATTTGCTGAGCCTTTATTATGCGGTGGTAGGCCCTGATATAAACACACCACGTGTATTACCAACTCATTCTTCCTATGAGGCGGGTGCTGTTATTCTCCCCATTTTACAGATGAATAATCCAAGGCACAGAGAAGTAAATGCGACAGGAATCCAACTCTCTCGAGCATCTCAGAAATCAAGCACTTGTCTTAAAATAAGGCTGTGTAGGTAAAGAGGTTGTTTCTTTAGCATAAGGCAATTCAGTGTGGCAATGCGTTCATGCTGAGGTCTGTTATTATGTTAATAGGAAATGGGAAAACAAACTAATTATTTCTCCAGAAGAAAGACTGGAGAACTGTTTTTTGTTTTTGTTTTTTTTTTAAAGCCAGAATTCTTGGGGTGGAAGAATAACCTGGTGCAGAGAAGGTTGGGAGGCAGGTGCCAGGACTGAGAGGCAGCTCTTGAACACCCCAAGGGGCCGTGTTCTGCCAAAGGCTTCACACAGCGGGTAGCAGACTTTTGGAGTTCATTATCCCAAGAGGTGGTACTGGCTGAACATATAAATAGTTTGAAAAGTGGCTCAGATAATTACATAAATGGAAGATACTAAATGGGTTATTAATGGAAACGAGGCATTATTCTCTCTCACTTATGCTGCTGAACACCACAAAGGCCAACAACGCTGTTAGAATTAAGAGGCAAAAGCACCAGGAGGGAGAGAAGAGGGTCCGAGCCCAACAATATTTTACCAGGAAGTGTCACCTCGGAGCACCCCTGGAGATGACCATCCCTCGTACTGATGTCCTCCCAGGCGCCCATGTGCTTTCACACGGAGAATTCCGTAGGTCATCACCACAAATCCTCACGGCAGGCACAATGCTCTCCCCACTCTGTAGGTGAGGACTTTGATCCTTCGCTGTGCCCCACAAACATTTATGTACAATAAGAGCTAACACTTAGTGGCCTAGCAGGGTGCAAACCCAGGCAGTCTGATTCTGGAGTTCATTCCACCTAATCATGCAACACATTCAGCTTTAAAAATTATGCATTAGAGTTCTCAGAAAAATATTTTTTTTAAATATGTTTTCACTGATTTCAGAGAGAGGGAGAGACAGAAACACCAATGATGAGAGAGAATAACTGATCAGGTGCCTCCTGCATGCTCCCCACTGGGGATCGAGCCCACAGCCTGGGCATGTGCCCTGACGGGGAATCGAACTGTGACCTCCTAGTTCATGGGTTGATGCTCAACCACTGAGCCACACTGGCTGGGCTCAGAAAAATATTTAATAAAATGTCATTTCACATTATGACTACATAAATGAAAGAAGAAAGGGCAAATAGGAAAAAAAGAGAGAAAAAGGCAGTAGGCAAAAATTACCAGAATGCAGGAAAAAAAATGAAATAAAAGAAATACACAGAAGAAAAAAAAAAGAGAGAACCCAAGAAAAAGAGACATATAAGGAGAAACAGAGAGCGCTCAGAAAATAGAGGTCAATGTAAGTTGTACATTTTATCCAAATACTGCAACCATGAGCTTTAGAGTATGTTAACTTGTCTCTAACTTTTGACATCTTAGCCTAACTAGTGAACACAGGTTATCAAATATTCTCCCATAGTATACTTTGAAAGTTTACTTTGAACGGGAGAATCAGAGGGTGGAGAAACACCTCTATCCAGCACACCTGACCAGTTGTTGTTGTCAATCAACACATACGAACACCGTCAGCCTGAAGTCTGGACACCTAGAGTGTGACACAAGGTGCATAATTTATGCAAAACCAAATCAACTCCAAGATAAATGGAACCAGCAAATAAACCGGAAGTCAGCTCAGAATCAGACTGTACTGCATGTATCTGGTAAGAATCATTTCCTCAAGATTTTTAATTTTCGCCTCTCTATATAAATATGCATGCTGACTTGCTATTTAAAGTGTTCAGGTCCCTCCATACCTGTGGAAGAGAATCGGTACTCTGGCCACGAAGCTTGACAACTGTTTCGGAGGAGCTGGAGGTGGAAGAACCGATTTCTTTCACAATCAACCCTAAAGTAAAACAGAATAAAAAGCAATGAAGATTTCACATTATTCATACCTCTTGCCACATATACTGCTGCTACTGAAAAAGAAAGATCAAATATGAACCATTATTGGAAAATCTCACGGTGATTCTTTGGTAGGAGACAACCAGGATGGAACACATTTTATCTTGTATCTTATAGGAAACTGGAGTGAGGGGTGGGTTGAGATGAATGTGGGGCTTGAGTACAGGAAGAAATTTAGAGCCTGAATTTTCTAAAATAAACTTCTAACGAAGCTCGCTATGATGAAGTTCGTAGTAAAAACAAAGACCCTAGGCCGGGTAAAGGAATCTCTTTACTATGTCTCCTGCGATCTTCCCACTTACCACATAACACCAGCTTAGAACTTAATCCCACCTGAACAGTGACTTCTATGTTTGGTCCACTTCGATGTGCAGTGGGTAAGTGTGAGGGCTCTGGCCTCTGGAGTCACACAGATCTGGGTTGATCCTCGGCCCAGACAAGTAATCAGCCATGTGTCCTGGCCAGTTACTTAACCACCCTGAGTCTCATGTCAGCCCCTCTTATACAGGGGGCTGATAGCAGCACCTATCAACAGAGTTTTACGATGATTAAAGAGCATGTGCATAAAAAGCACGAAGTACAGGGCCTGCACATGGAACGTGCTCAGCTCACAGAAGCTCTTCTTGGCCAACAGGGACACTGTGGCCCATACCTCCCGAGGCAATCCCCTCACTGGTAAGAGCCTGGGATGGGAGGCCACAGTGAAGATCAGCAGGGTCCCTAATCACCCCAGTGCTTGGGGGCAACCTGCTGAAACTTGGAAACAGAAATCCAGGGCTGACACTTCCTTATGAGCCCGCGGCATGTGAGAGAAGCATCCCCACGACATGTTTCAGAAGGTAAAACTGCCAACAAGAGCTGGAGATGTATGGGAAGATCACTGACATTTTTCTTGCAAACAGGTGAAGCAAGTGAGTAGGTGAAGTCCTTAAGGCCAAATAATTTAAGTACCTTCCCACCTTATTAAAAAACAAAACAAAACCATAATGTGATTCTCATTCAGCCACTGCTAGTAACCTATAGAAATAACTTTCGGTGTTAAATGCTTCCCTTGTACCCCCTCCCCACGAGCACTTTCGTGTATATTGTCTCATGCACACACATACACACATGCATAGTGAGAGAGAGTGTGCTATCTGTGCACCTATAATGTGCATGTAATTATGAGTTTATATTTAATACACATTGAAATGTACTTGTAAGGAAAATTCAACCTAATAAGGCAGGAAGGGAGGAAAGCTGGGTGAAGAACTAAGCTAAGCGTGCCCAGAGCACCGGCCTGCGGATTTCTGTTGGTCAGGCAGAGGATTCTGCCACCACCGCAGGTCTGTTCCTGGCAGAGCACCGGAAGGCCAGGGTTCTGCTGGGCCAGCCAGTGGGCTTCTGCCATAAAGGCTCCTCGCGCTCTTGCAGAGTGAGTGCCAGGGTGGGGGGACTGTGCTGGCCTTATTCATCTGATTTCCTGCCCATGTGCATGGGAGAGGTGCAGCATCGGGGACTGTGGGTCTTTTTTTAAATGTATTTTTATTGATTTCAGAGAGGAAGGGAGAGGGAGAAAGAAATAGAAACATCAATGATGAGAGAGAATCATTGATTGGCTGCCTCCTGCATGACCCACACTGGGAATCGAGCCCGCAACCCAGGCATGTGCCCATGACCAGAATCGAACCTGGGACCTTTCAGTCCGCAGGCTGGCGCTCTATCCACTGAACCACACCAGCTAGGGCAGGACTGTGGGTCTTGACAGGGCAATGGCAGTCACTTCAACCCTAACAGGGTCTCTCACTCAATCAAAGCTTTGAGGGGCATAACAATAAGCACCCAGGCCACTTGGACAGTACCTTGTACTAAGGCATCTTTCTCTATAAAGAACAGAGATTAATTCATGACACGTGACAAAAACAGAAGCTAACTGAGGTTTAAAAACAAAACCCATTCTGCTAAGGAGAACTCCCTGGGGGAGCTCACCAGAGTGTCCATTGAGCTTCCGCGACAGGAGCATGTCCTCCGTGATGTAGATGCACATGTCCGGGCTGACCTCCAGCGAGTCTTCGTTCAGCTGCTCCAGGTCCCTCGGGTCATCAACCAACATCTCTATTTCTGACACAGAAAAGGGAAAAGACATGTAGTGGCAGAAAGGGAAATGATCACTATAATGCACAGCCACATTCTGAGGGAAGCTATGTAATTATTCGTATTTGAAAATAAGTTGGCGTATGAGGCTCTACAGCAGTCTACTCCCGGGACAATTCTCAACCAGATGCTATTTGTCCTCTTTCTCACAAGACTGCTGTGTTCTCCACAGGTCTTCCAACACCCTGATTTGTCAATTGTTGCTTACTCTTTAAGAAAGAAGAAAAGCTATACTACCCTGCTTCCGTCACAGGGCAAATGGAGACCGATGGCTCATTTGGCTAATGCCACAGCAGATGTTGACACAGAATGAGTAGTTCATGGAGCTCCCCACTGCCCATAGCTGCCTAGTCTCAGGGTAGTTAGTGACTCAATTTGGTTACTACATGAATTCTATAGTAACCAAACATGTTCTGCAGCTTTCCTTAATGGAGTCAGTATCTCTTCCCCAAACCTGAATGCTATAGCATTTATTTGAGGTAGAAAAATAATAAAAAAGATGTAAACAAATGCTAGGTTTGGCTGATACAGGCTCATCTTATTTCCTCGCCACAGAGTTAAGCAGCCAGGTGCTGTGTTTCTTTTATACTCCCTAGCGTTCTGGTGATCTGAGAAGTATTTAAGAAATACTAATTAATGAAATGGTCTGGACTCAAAATTCTTTTTTTTGGAAAGTTCAAGACATTTATGTGACTATCATTGAATCCAATCTGTTGTCCTAACCAATGCTTATTTCATGTGGAAATCAGAAACGCAGACCCAAGGGCTGTGGGACTAACTTCTACTCCATATAAAATCCTAAAATTTAGAATCCACAACCATCCAACCCTGTGTTGGCAAAGGCTCATGACTAGAGGGACGTTTTGTTCACAAACAATCCAATCAAGTCAGTGGGGAAGGTGGCATGAGACTTTCTCTCTATTTTACTACTTCTTAGTTGTTCTGCAGACATCAATTCTGTAGAACGAATACCTGAGAAACAACTAGGAGAGAAAAAGAAATGAGCCATGAGGACGGGGCTGTCCTGTCGGCTCGGTGGGCCGGGGGGAAAGGTTACCATCGTCCTGCGAGTCCTCTTCCAGCCGGTCCTTGCCGCCGCTCTCCACCCCTGAGGTGTGGGAGCTGCCGTGGCTGGTCATCGAGCTGCAGGTCTTCAGCTTGCGGTGGATGGCGCTGCCGGAGTAGCTGTCCTCCGGCCCCGGGTCCCGAGGCTTGGTGTCCGCCTCGATGCCCGAGGTATGGGAACTGCTGTGGCTGGCGGTGGAGTGACGAGACAGGCGCTTATGCTTCATGCTGCCCACGCTGCTCCCGCTGGCCCGGGACCGCTTCTCCAGCTGGTCCATGTCAAGGTCCAGGTTGTCACTGATGTAAGATTCCCGGTACTGCTTCTTCTCTGTTTGGGAAGAAACAACCGATCGTCATCTCACTCAACCCAGACGGGGACCGGATGGGGAGCTTACGTGAGTCAGTCATCAGGCCAAGATCAAGTACAAGTTCACTCTCAGAATCTAGTGACTGGCAAGTGGTCCTAATTCTGGCAGCCTCTCCACCTAAGAACACCGCCAAGTGAATAAAAGCCAGGACGGCACATTTGAGGGGAACGCTTAAACTACTCAGGGTTCAAACACCAGAGAAGAAGGCTGCTCCTTGACCGACCACCTCGTGTCAGCAAACTGTTACTGGCCCCGCAGTGAAATAAGTTCAGTAACTGAGAATAAACATTCAGAAAGTGTGAGAGCAACCTGACGTTGTCATGGCAGCCACCACTGTGACTTTTGTATTTTGCAGAAGTATCAGTTCACAGTGGATTAGAAATTTAAAAAACCCGGTCCTTCCCCCAAGCTAATTTCAGAAACACTACTATAGGAGACTGTTGAATAAAGATAAGTATGCTATTTGCCATTCATTTCCTTTGTTCATTTGGTCCACTGTTTGTTTAGCTCTAACTTGTTGAATACAATTTAAAATAAAACGATTCTTCTGAGAATTTCTTTCAGGTAATTCTAAAATTTAGGTTTACATTAGCGAAGACTGCTTTTCTCCGTTTAGGCTGAATTAGTGAGACTTTCTCATCTAGTTAGAAAACACAGTCAGCACGGCTGGTGTGTCACGTGGCCTCTGATTGGTAAAAATGTTCCTGAACGTGTCACATGCAGAGACGCATCACTGGAAGTCTCTTTCATCAAGTGCTAAACCAGCCAGTACATCAAGCACAAAGCTACAGCTGAGGTGCAGGGGCACTCCTGACACAAAAACGTTATTTTTGTGCTTCACGTCAGAAATTTAAAACAGAAAGATAGCTTAGCTTCCTTGTGCTTTTAATACGGAAGAGAAATGACACATTAGAACAATGCTAACAATGGAGAGTGCATTTGGGAAACATTAAGTTGATATTATCTCAGAAGCTGCTAACAAGGAGACTAATTGGGTCCTCAGGGGCTGATGGCGGATTTAATTGTCTTGTTTCTTGGTTAAGTAAAAACACTCGCACTGCTGATGTCTGGTTCCAGCTCTGAAGTATCATCGCCACAGGCTCCCGAGAGGGAATGAGCATCAGCAGAAAGAGAAGATGATGATATGCTTTGCGGGATGCATAATGGAAAGATGCTAGGGGACGGCGAGGCGTGCGTTTCTGGGCTCCAGCCCTTTCCTGTCAATTCTAAGGAATTGGGCTGAAACACAAAGGCATGTGTGTGTAGCCACAGAGAACGCAGACTGGGGCTGGACATCACAGCCCAACACGCACCACTGAGACAAGTGCATCCATCCCATTTTTTAGGGTGAGCCTGGGTTCTAAGGATTCCTGCTTTCTGAAGGCAACGGGTTGACATGAAAATGAGCGCTAAAAGCATTTGCAAAATTCTCATACCATTTCTACTTACTGTACTTTCAAAATAATAGATAGCCATGTGACCCTCAGAAGGGTGGCAAGTGAAGGAAAAAAAGTAATAAAAGAGAAATAGGGAAAAAGTTCTATAGGGTATTGGAGGTCTGAGACAATTGGGAAATGTGGATCTGATTATTTGAAAGTTTTCTAGTCTGGCCGGTGTGGTTCAGTGGTTGAGCATCCACCTATGAACCAGGAGGTCATGGTTCGATTCCCAGTCAGGGCACATGCCCAGGTTGTGGGCTTAATCCCTGGTGTGGGGCCTGCAGGAGGCAGCCAATCAATGATTTTCTCTCATCATTGATGTTTTTATCTCTCCCTCCCACTCTGAAATCAATAAAAATATATATTGAAAACTAACTAAATAAATACATATAAATAAAAGCTTTTCTACATCTTTACAAATAGTTTTTTTAACCCCAGCTTCCAGGAAGTTTTGGAGCCAATCCTAGTATCCCATACTCACTAGTACACTCCCTGGGGTACAAGCAGTCTCCAGCCTGCGCTCCTGCTAGGAGCCCTGTGTATGTATATTTCCCATCAGAGTGTCAGCAGCCCTGGTGCACCACGAGGCTGGCTTCTGTCTCCTCTGAAGTGAGTGCTACATCACTTAGACCAGTGATGGCGAGCCTTTTCAGCTCGGCGTGTCAGCATTTTGAAAAACCCTAACTTAACTCTGGTGCCGTGTCACATACAGAAATTTTTTGATATTTGCAACCATAGTAAAACAAAGACTTATATTTTTGATATTTATTTTATATATTTAAATCCCATTTAACAAAGAAAAATCAACCAAAAAAAATGAGTTCGCGTGTCACCTCTGACATGCGTGTCATAGGTTCGCCATCACTGACTTAGACCCTCTGCAAACATTTAAGAAGCTTCACACCACTCGGTTACAAACTGAGGGAAATACTGAAATAATGCAGAAATTTGTTCGAAGGAATGCAAAATGCAACTTCTCATCCCCCTCACAATCACTGGTATCAAGAGTGAAGATGCTCAACATGCCAGTGTGCTTTTTATTCCCTCTGTGGGAAAAGCCCAGCGACCGCAAAGGTTTTCACACATGATTTTAAAATAGAATGCAGGCGATGTGACTTCTGTATAGATGTCTTAAGAATAAGCTCTAGTTACTGAATAAAGTTGGGTTAACATCTTTCTAATGACAAAGGCACTTCTCTTCTAAATACTATGGGAGAATTCTTGTGATTATTTTCTGCTATAAAACGCTAAAACAGTATTTCAGACAAGGTGACTCTAAATGAAATGTAATTAAGTAAGATTCTTTTTGTGCTGCTCTTTTTGCTGAGCCAATATTGAAAAAGGGCTTCAAGTGCGGGTGAGATAAGTGGATTCAGGCCAAGGCTGGTCCAGAGGAACTTAGTTTTAATTTTTCCTCAGACCTAGAGGGATCTTTAAGTAGAAGAAATTAAATGTGTTTTCTTTGGAAGAAGAAGAACAAAAGACTTCCCTTCCAAATCTATCTACACTTGCCCAAATAAAAGATCCAGTTTACAAATTTTTCATTCCTTCATGGCCCTGTACACGTAAGCCCACAAATGCACCCGGTACATGCTGGGTAGTTTACCTTAAACGCTATGGTTCGTTCCCTCTTATGGGCTCTAAAGAGCTCCCCCTACAGTCCCCTAAACAAGAATTTACTAAAAGGCTGCTGGTGGAGAGCTGGTGGAATAAATGAACTTCTCAAGGCATCAATTAGGAACGAGGCTGACTTGGCAAACAATAGGCTCTGCACCCCACTAAGTCTCCTACCCATCCTCACAAGTTTCCTCAGCACCTTTTCCTGTCTGAATTCTCTTTAATATTCATGTCAGCATCGGAGAGATATATTTGTCATACCGATGAGTCATCTGGGGAAGGACTGGCAGTCTGGCAGCGGCGGAAGCCAATACACCTGACATTTTTACCCACTCTCTCTGAAGACAGGTGCAGCGTGGTGGCAGACAGTGGGAGATGATTCACGTTCTAATCGCTAATTAAATGACAGTGACATCTACAAATGGGGTCTCATTTAGACAGAGGCAGCTTTGGAAAGGAATTGATCAGACGTGCAAATCTCTCTGAGGTGTTTTGCTTGCTCAGAGAGAGCAGGTATTGCCTTGTTTCTGTGGGAAAGGTTGGATCTGAGAGGTCAAAATCTGTTTCAGACATGGACCTCCGATATGAATCTGCATCCTAATGATCATGCAACCCCCTAAAATCTACTAATCTAATCGCATTACCAAGAATTAGTACAACATGAATATGCAAAATAAATGAAAGGCATTAAAAAATAAACAAATATGCAAAGTAGCCTTTTGGGGGATCAGAAGTTGGGAGTGTTAAGTGGAGTAACTCCAGGGTGCCATAACCCAAGATAAAGGGTTAACCACGAGCTTAATACTGTAAAGTTGGAGCCTGCTCTTAGAGGCCCTCTCTGCCTCCCTCTTCTTCACCATGTGTCAACTTTGGCCCAGGACTCTGGGGTTCCTAATAGACTGTGTCTCAGCCCAGCCCCCACAGGACTGGCTGGTAAAATCCTCAGAAGAAAATTTCTCCCTCCTTTGCCATTCTTGCTAGGGCAGACGTGGGGGCCTCCCCACAGTCAAGAAGAGAGACTGCAGCCATTTCTGTGACCCACTTCGTTGGAAGCAATTTCAGATTGCCGTGGATCATAGAACCAAGGTGGATCCGTGTAGACATGGAGCTCTGAGATACAGCTAAACCTTGGCCTGAATCTTCACTTGGTGGCTTCTCACAAGCATTTTCAAGCCAAGCGTGGGATAAGTTAAAGAGGCTACACAAGGGGCAGCTCAACGACAGGGAACACCTCGGCATTTGGGATGGGTGCGGCTGCTGGCACCGAGGCTACCCTTGCCTTCTGGAACAGTGCTGGCATGGAAAGAGGAGGCTGCACTAAATTGGGAGAGTCCTGGCCCCCAAATCCCACCCCGCAGGAGCCTGCGATACCTTCGTTTTCCTCCAGCTTCCGGATGTGGCGCAGGATGGGCTGCAGGTTCATGTAGAGGCGGTGGCTGTTGCTCAGCAGCTGCAGGAGGTGCCTGGAGCGCAGGGGGCACCCCGTGTAGTATATGAGCTTCCTGGCTGAGGGCAGGCCATCTGGCAAAATCTCAAATTTCTTACCCTGGGGAGGGAAAGCATAAATCAGATGCAGATTCGGGAAACAAAGTCTCTGATTTGCCCAGGTCTCCTTCGTTGTCTACTTGGTAAGGAAAACTACAGATTGCGAAAACGATGTGCAGCAGGTCCTTGGATAACATCGTTTCATCACAACGTTGATGAGTTGCTATGGGAACGCAGCTCTTGTTTCTATCAATTAGCCTACAGTAAAACTGGTTTTGTTGTACGTCATTTTGCTTAAAGTCGCTGTACCTGTGGACAACTTTGAGTGAGGACTTACCGTATAAAGCTCTAATCAAAATTTGCTGAGACATAAAGTACTGTGTTCCCTTTCAAAACTGTCACAGACAGAGGGTTACCCAAAATTCAGGAAAGGGTCTAGCGAGGGTCTTCTGGTAATCACTGACTGGGTGTGACAGTTGAGGAAGATCTTTGGTGTCTCTGGCTGGTCAGGCCATTTATATAATGGAGAAGCGAAGGGCCCGTCATGCAGCATCCTCAACCTCAAATGCAATCCCAACACTTAACTCAGCAAACAAGTTCCACAAGCGGAATGCATTCAAGTATTTGTGGAACACGCACTGTCTACCGATCCCTGCGCTAGACAGACACCGAGGAAACAGCAGTGAACAGGACAGACAAGCTCCCCACCCTCCGGGAGACACATTCTGGTGGGACAGATGGTAAATTAACACACAGAATAATTATAGCTTATGATAAATTCCGGGAAGGAAATAAATAGAATTATGATGGTGAAAAATACTGGATACCTATTTAGGGTTTAGAAAAAAATATAAAACTTCTCTAAGCCGGAAGCTACAGAGACAGCAGTGGGATGGGACAAGGAAGAGAAAGAAGAGCTATACGTGTCTATCAATAGAGATATAAGGAATCACATTCCTTAAGCCTGGGATCATTAACGTAGTGTTCAAAGTTGAGGGCGAGAGCCTGGCAGAGTTCCTTACAGTGCTAGACTATTTTGAATTTCTTTCACTTTCTTAATAATGAATAAAGCAGCAGCAGAACTACAAAACGGAGTATTCCAGATGCGAAGATTCTCAGCCAGAGAGGAGAAGTGAAGCGAAGAGGGAGGCACACTCTAACCTGAAGTGGGCACAAAGCAATATGGGTTTGTGTAACGCAGACAGGGATGGAATTTTTCACCTCTGGACTTCTTTAAAAGACCACCGGTGGACCCCAGTGCTAGACTAGTAATAACTGATACTTAACAAGCTGTAAGCAGATGTAACTCATTCATCCTCACCCTCAATTTGAAATGAAGAAACTAAGGCACAGAGAGGTTAAGCAATTCGCTCAAGGTCACACAGCTAGGCAGGGCTGGGCTGGCTGCACCTGGGAAGTCTGTCAAAGTAGATTCCTCCTCTCCAACCCACAGTCACTGAATAGAAAATCTCTAGGAGAGGAGGGCGAGGCCCAAAAGTCTGTAACTTCAACACGCTCCTCAGATGAGTATGACGCAAAACTAGATCCACTGAGTCCAGGACCCTTAAAACACTCAATTCCAGAAATGCATTTTATGACTACTTAGTGTGGGACATGAAAGGGGCAAGTCTGGCAATAAAGTACTCATTTTCAAACAGCCCAGATCCTTTCACAAAGAGCTGGAACAAAGGAGAGCAGTGGGGAGGAGGCAGGTCAGGCCGTGCTTAATGTAGGAGGAAAGTGAAATCAGATTGAACTGTGCCCAAGTAATTAAAGTAATGTAAAGTCAGGAACAGGTCTTCTGACTCACAGGACAGTGTGGAATCAGTGCCCAGTGCTATTTGGCAATACAACCCTTTATTTATATAGGCCATCTTCCTTAGGGGAGAGAGCACATGTGGACAAATCCTTATCTCCCTCCTTGCTTTGTGTATTTTTTTCAGTAGTTTCTGAACAAAAGAAAATTGTGGATTTTAATGACTACTAGACAGACACACTGTTAACTGTAATTCTTTGAACTCTACTAAGAAATGGAGATAGCTAGCAAAGTAAAGAAACAGCTGGAAAAATCATAAATTTGCTCGAAAAATATTCTAAAAATAAAGGTATTTTTCCTGTTAAGAACTATAGACCTTTCTTTATAATGATGAGTTTCGAAGAGTCAGATATTAATAGAAACATCTTTTTATATCACTCTTTATTCCTTCTTCAAAGGAAGTAATTTCCAAAGGAACTGGCCGGCCCCACACGAAGAGAACTTACCCTGTGATTATGGTTTTCTATTTTCTAATCCCTCTGCTGTACACTTTTAAAATAATTCTATTTGATGAACTCATCTTGTTCTTTTCTCACTACATTTCTTCTGCAAGTAGAATAACTTAGGGTATTTAATTTGTGTGAAGACCAGGCACACAAATTAAAACTAGTAATTTATTTTGCTATAAAATTCTTTAATTTTAGCTGTTCTACTGATGAGTGACATAAGAATATAAGAAATCTAATTATCTTCACTGCTGACTTCTTAAAAGTATCAACTTTTGTATCTGGGACAATATTGTTTTAAAAAACAAGAAACAACAAAATTCCAAAAACAAACAAACAACTGAGTAATTTACTTTAGCCAGTTATTTTAAACTTACCACAAATACCAATTTTCCAACATTTGTCCAGGGGAAGTCATAAAGTAATTGTTTCTCTTCATCTAAATTCTGTGGGAAGAATTATAATGCATATAGAGTTACTGATGAAACTGACAGACACTAAAATGGCTCTAATTTATCTCCCAGAAAACTAAAATACATTAATTAAAATCCGAAAGAGGCCCTCAGCTCTCTTTGGAGATGTGCAGACAGTAATTAAAAGATTAGTGATATGATTCAGTAGTTTCCGGTTCCCGAGTGCCTGCATCATTAACTGCCCTTTCCGGGCAATCTTTCCTCTTTTGGCCTATCCCTAAAATTTAAATAAAAAGTCCGAAAGACTCGGGCATTCAGGAGACGAGACAAGGTACTCAGACTTTCATCCTTGGATATTTTGCCTACATCAAAGAAAAGATATCCTGATACTCTCCCAGCTCTCCCAGAAAGAGGCTTTTTCTCCCCCTTGTCAATGGCTGTAGCACCATCCCACCTACTTACTCAAGGGACAAGCTTTATCAGAAAAGTGTAACGGAAATTAAAACATCTGCTCAGGCACTGTATGCATATGTCATCTTTAGAATTATAAATGCTCCAGAGTACAAAAATATACAAGAGTATATTTAACGTCAATGACACACACAGAAAAAGTGGTGAACGTGGGCCAATCTTTGGCGTTTTGTTTTCTGTTCTGGAAGACTTGTTACTACATGGTTTAGACTGGATCCCTTGGTCTATCCCACATCGTCCACATCTGTGCACACAAACAGGAAGCAATGACCAATCCGTGGCCAAAAAGGACCGGTGAACCTATCACGGGACCACAGAGGGACTGTCACTGGGAGACAGAGCAGTGCCTACTGGACACTTAGTTCTCTCATTTACTCACCTGGAAAATCTGTATTCCCCGCATGGTCAGCCCGAGGGTCAGAGAAGCTTCAATTTCCCTTTTATCCTGGAGGAATAAAATTTTATGAAGATGTCTACGTTAGAACCTTGAATATAAAGCCATAATTAAATTCTGAGATGCACCAGATTTTATATGTTAAAAACTGGGTACCAGCTCAGAAGCTAAGATCACAGGCAAGCCTAAATATTTAAGGGTCTCTCATGAGGACAAATAATAAAGCTGTAAAAGTTTTATATCGGTTAGTTTTTTTAAAAAGTACTTATTTTTTAAATGCTCAATTATTACTTACCAAAGTGGTATCCATTCCACTGGGTTAGTTGGTAGAATGTATACTACCAGCTAACCCATAAACTATAAACAATAACGTATAACTACATAAGGAAAAAAAATTCTCCAATTAAGAATGTACTCAGGTGGGAAGAGATCAGCCAAAGAACTTATATGCATTTATGCATAACCCATGGACACAGACAATAGTGTGGTGAAGGCCTGGGGTGGGGGGTGGGCTAGAATGGGTCAACGGGGAAGAAAGGGGACATGTAATGCTTTTAACAATAAACACTTAAAAAAAAAATAAAGGATGTACTTAGAACTTTGGCAACATCTTTTTTAAGTGCTCGTCTGTAAAAGTGTATATAAAATATAAAGTATAAAATAGAAGAGACATAATATTATTAAGTAACTATAAGATTTCTCAGTACAAACAATAAATATGTACAGATCTTCATTATAGTGCCATTTTCCCCAGGAACATGGTTAAGAAGTATTTTTTGAAAATGCATCCTCACCAGGCACAGAAAAGAGAAGACATAGCCTATTTTTACTCTTTGGGTTGTTTTTTTTCCAACCAACGTATTTTTACATCACGAAAGGCATATATAGTAAGAGAAACCAATCCATCACTATGAGTTTAGGCCAATTTCCCTTGCAAGGCCGTTCTGATTGTTTCCTGAAGACTGTGCTCATAAAAACGCGGGCTGTGCATGTATGAGGTGTGCAGTACTGGAAAGGGAGCACAGAATTTGTTGTTTTGCTTTTTCAGGATGTTTCCTATCCTCCATCTACCTTATTTCCATTTTGTAACCAGGCCTTAAATGAAGCAGTTTTAGTGGCTGCCACTTGACTTCTCCGAAGAATAAAAATTCTGTCCATGAGGCAATATTATTTCCCACTTCATTCAGTTACATTACTATGATTAATTATCTCATTTTAAGCAGACTAGAGTCATTTTCCATGTCATGTAGAAGTACCATACTTTAAGTAAGTTTGAAAGATTTTTACACAAGATAAATTGAGGATATCTACTTCACTAAATGATTCTTAATAGGATTTTAAAAATTGATTTTTAGAAAGAGAGAGAGCAGGGGGTGGGGTAGGGGAGGGAGGTAGAGAAACATCTATTTGTTCCACTTATTTATGCATTCATTGGTTGATTCTTTTATGTGCCCTAATCAGGGAATGAACCTATAACCTTAGGGGATGCTGCTCTAACTAACTGAGCTACCTGGCCAGGGCCAATAGGATTTTTTTAAATACTAAATTTCCTTATCAAATAAGAATCACTAATGTACTAGACACTTCACTTGGTTATTTCAGATTCATTATCTCATAGAATTTTCCCAATGTTGGAAATGTATGGAATCATTCCACTTAATAGATGGCCCAGGATTATTTATATTTACTTAGGATCCAGTAATTATCAGTGGTAATATAGGGTTTTTAAGTGACTAGAGGCCCGGTGCATGAATTTGTGCAGGGCCAGGTTGGCTGGGGGGAGGGGACATGGGAGGTTGGCAGGCCAGCCCCACCCTGGATTGGGGGGAGGGGTAGGGGCGATCGGGGGCGGGGCCTGGGGGAGGAGCTGCGGGCAGTTGGTTGAACTCCTAGTCAAGGGAACAATTTGCATATTAGCCTTTCATTATATAGGAAGGAGGATATCTGATTCCAAAGCCGCAGTCTTTTCAATGCATTATTAATACTACTCATACATTTTAAAATTATAAGCTGATTGTCAAAAATGTCATTTATTTTCATTTTTTCCTATAAATTGTCACAAATAAAATTTAAGGAAAAAAACAAACAGATAGCTAAGTCCTTTAGGAATTTAGCCAAAAAGATATTATGGAACTCAATTATGCCTTTCAAAGATGACAGGGCATTAACAGTGCACCTTTTAAACATGGAAGGGAGAAGAAACACCATCCTTTGGTCCCTTTCTAAGTTTTCTGAACCAGGCAATGTGCTCACCAGCAGTATATCCAATGGTCTAGGGGTGCTAGACCATTGGGTAGGGAGTGATACCAAAGGCTATGGAGTGATACCAAGCATAGTAACAGTGATATAACAACTGCTTGAAGCACCTTTTATCCATTGTCCTTTGCCTATTCAATGAACCTCAGAGGTAGGTCATTACCATCCCCATCTAACGATGGGAAACTGAAGCAGAGAGGCTAAGTAGTAACTGGTCTAAGGCCACATGGTAAGAGGTGAAGCTAGGAGTCAATCCCACAAGTTAGGCTCAATAGACCACTCTCTGAACCACTTCATCCTATTCGGTTGGAGAATATACCTCTGGGTACATAAGTGGGGATTCAGGAGTGAAATATGGCCACGAGTGGGGAGGAAGTAGAGGGGGAGAGAAGACATGATCCCATAAATGTAGTGTGAGGGATTCCCCGCAGAGCCTGGCCTCAATTGTTACTTGGGTGTGTGGCCTCTGACCTCTGAAACAATGAGGCTAGGGATATACAGGACACAGAAGGGAGTGACACACATCAGAGAGTTCGGTGGAGAAAGCACACAGGCTCTGATTAGGCCTGGGTTGAATCCTGGCCTTGCCACTTACTGGTTTTGTGGCCTTTAGTCTGTTTCCTTGTCTGTAAAATGAAGATTACAGTTCCTATCTTACAGAATTTTTTTAAAGGATAAATATAAAGGGTGCCCCATAAACACAGGACTCAATAAGCACTTGCTGTCATTGTGAGGCTCTGGTTACTAATGGATCCGATGCTGTGTGACTTCACTTTGGGGAATATTAAAAACTAATGATCGAAGAAGTTGCCAATGTCACTCCCCGAGACAGAAACGCAGACTTGGAGAGGAGAAAAACAACTACGGTATTTCTGTTCACGGAAAAGCCACATTCACAATATGCAGCCCCGTGTTATCACAGCGTTAGAACCAGGAGAGCCTGCATCCTGCTCCCAGGCCGAGAAAAAGCATCACCCGCTCCGAGATGACCTGCGGTGACAGACAGCGGGCCACGTGAAACTCTTTTCAAAGCCCTTTAAAAAGTGAACTGAGAGGTTAAATAAACGCCCCTTGTGATGGAGAAGGAGTTTTTTTCTCGGAAGCTGCAGGCGCAAGGCCGTCTGTACCTTATACAGTCTGTAGTAGTGGACGGCGACGTCCTCCAGCCGGACGGCCTCTTTGATGTATTTAAGATGAGCCTCGGAAGCGGTCAGTGCAAACTGATCTTTGTGCATGTTTGGAATGTGCTTCAGGATGTAGTCCTTCCCTCTCTTGGCAACAACCTGTTGGAATACAACGGGCATGCAATGCAACATTTGTCGGAGGGTGTACACACCCTCACCCGTAAGTGACAGAAGGACAAGGACCTAAACAAACCATATAAACTGGCTAACATCCACTAGAACATTCCCACGTTCACTCTGTCTTCACCATCGGTTATAGTACGAGGCTGAATCAGCTAATACTCAAAGTGACAAAGTCAATTTAGCTGCAGTATTGAATATATGAGAAGAAAAATCACAAGAAATGGGAAAAGTAGGTTCTCTTGGCTTTAAACTCACCAGGAACCAAAAAAAAAAAAAAAAAAAAAAATCAAACCAAAGACAAAACCATGCAAACTTGCAAAATTTTGTACATATCATTCCTTATACTTGCAAAATTACTGGTACCATGAAATACATCTCCTGTCAGCACATCTTCAGGTTCTGGATCCTACTTAACTCTTCCAAAGTCACAGCCACAGCGTGGAAGACTCTAAATGTTAATCCAAAAAAAGGCAGGGGACTGCGAGAAATTCTCTGAAATGTGTGGTTTTTGCATAAGAGGCTGATATGAACAGTCTATTGGATACTTATGAGAAAACAATTTATTTCATACATTCATTATAATGAACTGTGGCTTATATTTTCATCAGACAATAGCCTGAGCTTTTAGGTGTCAAAAGTACTCAGTATCCAGCAGCTGCAGGTTCAGAGAAAGGTGTCGATTGTTAAAGGTCCTAACTGATTTCATAAGGATTATCAGATGTGGAATTACACAAAGGAAACTAGAGTAATGTTTAAAATCATCAGAATAAAAAAAAATTAGAGAATTTCTAGTTTAAAAATGTTTTATAGATACTGACATTTTTTGTTTCTTTCTATTGAATTAAGCACGATAAATTATTGGCCAATTTTCAAGTTTTACTGAGAACTCAAATTACAGATTTTTCTTTCTTGATGCCTTTTACATGAAGGTCATCTATATCAGTATTTGTCAGCCTTGTTCAGGTCAGAGAACACATAGAAAATAGTATTTGTAAGGGTACTGAAGCAGTGACTTTGGTGACCCCAAGGGTGGAGGACACTGGTCCCCGGGCACTCTGGAGGCCACGGCACATGGATGGGAAGCTCTGATGTAAATGACCAAGGCTCAGTGAGCACCTGATGACAACTAGGGAATGTAAAAGCAGGCTAATTTTGGCCCAACAGACATTGCTATGTAAGAGCTTGACACCTTTTGTGGGTTTCTCTTCCAACAACTGAAGCACTGTCAATCAACTGTCAGTTGGTCAACAAAAACTTATATTGAGCACCTTAATGTGAAGTGTCGAGGAAACAGAAAAGGGTAAATTTATGTCTGTCCTTAGTTACATACCAAGAAACACTAAGGTTACTGGGGTTGGGCCCAAAAGATAAAGAGTTATTTGAAAATAAGATGTAAAACACACCCATCCAGGGTCTCGTTGAGCACAGAGGAGGGGCGCTGGCACCTGGTCCATCTGCCCGGAGGAAGCGACCCCTGAGCAGAGTGTTGGAAGGAGTTAGGTGAAGCGGGGAGAGGGGCTGCACAGGCTAAAAGAATTGGAGGGAGAAAGGCCAGAGTAGGAGCCACCACAGGTGTGGAGACACGGGGATCACTGGACGATGCTACCGCATAAAATTCAAGGTGAGGACAGTCAGAAAGGAATCTGGAAAGGGGGGGGGGGGGGGCAGGGGCCACATCCTGCAAAGCTCCTCAGGCGTGCTTGGGAGCGGGCTGCACTGCAGGTGACAGGGGAGCCCCGGGGGCTTCCCTCCGAAGCCCAAGCAAGCCTCCACAGCAGGGCTGTTGAGTGCTCACAGAGCTGGAAGCTGGGAGGCGGGGGAACAATGGTGGGGAGGGGACGCAATAGACAGACATGTAGGAAGTGAACAAAAATACAAGAGAATTTTGGTTCTTACGCTGGGTGATGGGTTATAGGCTGTTTAGGGAAGAGGACGTTCTGATTGACTGGGTGGGACGGGGAGAAGGAAGGGTGGTCAGGGAGGGAGTGCTGTGTGACTCCCAAGTTTCTGGGTGACGGGGTGGACGGCAGTGCCGCCAGCCGAGATTAGGAACACGGAGGCAGGAATAACAGAACTGAGGTGGCGGGAAGGAGATGAGTTTGACTCAGCACATTCTGAATTTGAGATGCCTCCGGGTGAACAGCTATTTCATGGACTCAGGGGAGAGGTGGTTGTTAAAAGCATTCAGTTGGATGAAATCTCCCGTGATCGGGAGGGGTGACGTGCCAAGGGCAGCGGAGAAATTCAGGGAGTGAAAGTGTCCACTGGATTTGGCCACTTAAAGGTCACTGGTGACCTGAGGGACAGCCCATGAGTGGGGCGGTGGGGAGAGCAGGCAGATGGAGGTGGGTGGAGGAGTACGCGTGGGAAGCAAAGAAGCTAGAAAATCAAATAGACATCGCTTTTTCAAGAAGCGTTACTGAGAAGGGAAAGCAGGAGAGGCAGCATTTCCCTCCCTCCCTCCCTCCCTCCCTCCCTCCCTGCCTCCCTTCCTTCCTTCCTAGGATGGGGTGCAAACCAAGCCTGTCGTGTATGTTCTGTCTGAAGAGCAGAGGGTAAAGGTAAGAGAAAGAAGTTACAGCAGAGACCTGGAGGAAGGGCAGGGGCAGAACAGACGGGCTGGGGTAGAGAAAGTACAGTTGAATGGTTCATGCTGGAATAACCTAAATTTCCTCGCTGAAGTAAGGAGATGGTGGTCAGAGCAAGGAGTTTACTTACACACAGGGACAAGGGGCCTCCGACTTACATGATGGCTCGACTTACGATTTCTTGACTATGGTGTGAAAGCAATATGCTTTCAGCAGAGACTGAACTTCGAATTTTGAATGATTCCCGCCCCCTAGCTAGCGATTTGCAGTTCAGTCTTCTCTCGTGATGCTGGACAGTGGTGATGAGCCACAGGGTCACAGGGGCAAACAATGGACACTCTGTGTCCACTGTGTCACCAGCATTTTTTCTTTTTTGCTTTAGTTCAAGGCTTCAAGCACACTCCAGGCTGTGTTCAGGCTTCTAGCTGTGCTCACTAACGCTGGGGACCCAAGCAACCATTCTGTTTCCCACTTTCAGTAGAGTAGTCAAAAAATCATGAGATATTCAACACTTCATCAAAAAACAGGCTTTGTGTTGGATGATTCTGCCTCACTGAAGGCCAGTGTAAGTGTTCTGAGCACATTTTAAGGTGGGCCAGGCTACACTATGATATTCGGTAAGCTAGGTGTATTGAATGCATCTTGACTTAACAATATTTTCACCGTACAATGGGGTTGACTGGGAAGGAGAAAAGCTTTCTCAAATTAAGAGTAAATAAGATCAAGGCCAAGGAAACACCAAAAGCAGGCTGGCAATCTCCATGTTCCAGCATTTTAGAATGGAGAGCAGTCTTCTTCTGCGTTAACTATAAGCCAGCCGCGCCTATGAAGACAGCACGTGGATCACACTCTTAAGTGTTAGACTTCTATTCTGCGCATCATGAAGGGTTTCACCGGCCACAAAACATCTGGGTTCCCATTGCCTGAAGCAGCGCGCATAGCCGCACTATGACATAGAAGCATGCTCTAGAGAAAACACTTTAGAATTTGAAAACAGTGCCTACCCAAGATGGGAAGTAAGCCTCCGGATCGAAGTATTTTCCTTGGTGCTTATCCCTTTTGAAGTTCCCAAGGTCAGCCTGCAGGGCAAAGGCTGCCAGCAGGAAATAGGCCTCCTCGCGGAGCACACACTGAGAATGAAGCACTTGTTTTTTCAGGTGCCAGTAATAATAGAATCTTGCTGCTCTGTCACTAGGAAAATACAAGAAAACACATTTTGATGGTACAATCCAATGGCATGTAAACAGAACCCAAATCCTGCTATCCATCTGCTGACAAGGGCTCTTCTGTTTCGGCTCCCTGCTCTCCCCCTCTCCTTCCCCACTCACTGAAAAAAGGGGAGGTTGTAGGAACACCTGATCTCTCGCTGCCTAACTGAATTCGAAGTCAGACTACCCTGGCTGCAAAAATCACATTCCCTAAGACCTGTAACATTCGATTCACTCAGAGACTGGAAAAACGGTCGGAATCCTTCCACTCTAATACGGTATTTCATTAAACAAGTATGACAATAGAAGCCTAGGTATTGGTTGTAATAAAATAATTTTGTTACAGTAATGCTGTGCATGTAATATAAATAAGGACAAATCCGAGGGGACAACCCAACACTGGCTTTAATGTTTTGCTATTCTTTTTTTGTTTTTCAGCTTGAGCACATTACAAATACTCTAAGGCCCTTTTAAAGATGTTTGTTTATGAGACTGTCTAGAAAAAAAAATTCACTACAAAAGGTATGATTTCTTTTTCCTCTTTCAGAATGAATGAACTGAAAAATGCTTCCCTTAAATCTTTTTTTAAAAAATGATTATTAAGTGGGTGTTACTTTATGGGTGTGTTTTAACAGGCACATGTTATGACAACCATGATACTCCTCAAAAATGGAAATACTAGCAGTGCACTCATTGCAATCCACTGAGGTCAGAAATAAATATAGTCCCCATTAAACATGTTGAGCAAGAAGTGCTGACTGGGAAAAACATGGTCTAGCTCCAGAAGATGTCACAGGCACATAGGACGCCTCTGTGATCAAAGTAGAAATGCAAGAGGACACGTAGGTGTATAGTTAATGTGCTTATTTGCCTCTTTATTATTGTAGGTTGAATGTTTTTAGCTGAGATTCATAGTTCATTAGCTGATGATAATGAAAACATATGGGCTTATTTTTACCAAGATCATGTTTAAGTATCAAGAGTTTAAAAATAAAGCATTTGACAGAAACAAACAAAAGAGAATAAAAATCAAGCATTTATGTAATTTTTTCCCCCTTGGCACAGAGTACTTTTCAGAGCACTTCTTTTTATAATGCTGATCACACAGTGTTTGGACTAGTTCATCCCAGGGGGAAAGGGCAGAAGTATTGGGATAAATTAAACATTCACTAGCCCCAGGCGGTTAATGCCATACTTAGTCGGTAAAGTGCATTCCATACTCAGTAGGTAAATTGAGTAAAAACTTTATATAAATCAAGAATAACTAAAAACTTTCTCAGTCTTTAAAAAAATTCTTTATGGACTAATATATTTTACTGTGTAATGTGCCTATGGCGATGATATAAATATTAAGAGCGAATTTCACATGTAAATCACTAGCCAAATGTTTCTGTTGTCTGTTACATGGGGTTTCTCAAAGTTTAATAGGAAATAAGTAAAACTCAGAGTTCCCATTTCTAGTATTTTCTATCAGCCAACAAGATCATCTCTGAAAGTTTCCAGCACTGACTCCTCCTAAGCAAAGGGTGAACTTGCTTTTAAAACAGTGAACTCTGAGTTTGTATCATGGGCATAGTATTGTTCATGCAGCTACGTCCAGACAAAGAATCAATTACCTGCCCTTGCCAAACCGCATCTAAGATTCTCACAGGATGACTCCACTGGGCATAATCTTAGCTTTAAAGGTACTTCCAAGAACAGAAGCAAGACCCCCACCGTGAAAAGAAAACCAGGCTGTAAACACCCATGTGTTTTTATAGAAGAGAGTTCTTACTGCTGCCCCATTCCCCGCCCCCTCAACAAAAAGGAATATAATCCTTTCATCAATTTCTCTACTCTTCACAAAAGTGTGAGTTCCTTCTTGAATGAACTATCTTTTTGGTGACTTATTTGTTATTGAAAATGTGGAATGCAGCCCTAGCCGGTTTGGTTCAGTGGATAGAGCGTCGGCCTGCAGACCAATGGGTCCCAGGTTTGATTCCAGTTAAGGGCACATGCTTGGGTTGCGGGCTCGGTCCAATGTGCAGGAGGCAGCCAATCAATGATTCCCTCTTATCATTGATGCTTCTATCTATCTCTTCTCCCTTCCTCTCTGAAATAAATAAAACTAATTAAAAAAAAAGAAAAGAAAATGTGGAGTACAGAGAATGTGAGTCAGCTGTATTGCTAACATTTTCATCAATAGCCTAACATAGTCATTCACTTACTTAACAAGTATTTATTGAGTGTATACTGTACTTTTATTGTAGGACCTGAGGATACATGCACATGCAAAAAGATTTAAAAAAATAAATAAAATCCCTTGCCCTAGCCAATTTGGCTCAATGGATAGAGTGTCGGGCAGGCCTGAGGACTGAAGGGTTGCAGGTTCGATTCTGGTCAAGGACATGTACCTCAGTTGCAGGCTCCATCCCTAGCCCCGATTGGGGTGCATGTGGGAGGCAACCAACTGATGTGTCTCTTTCACATTAATATTCTCTCTCTCTGTCTCTCCCCCTTCCTTCCATTCTCTCTAAAAATCAATGGAAAAATATCCTCAGGTGAGGATTAACAAAAAAATAAAATTAAAATAAAACCTAGGAGACAGCCTGGCTTGTGTGGCTCAGTGATTGAGCATCAACATATGAACCAGGAGGTCAAGGTTCAATTCCAGGTCAGGGCACATGACAGGGTTGCGGGCTTGATCCCCAGTAGGGGGTGTACAGGAAGCAGCTGATCGATGATTCTCTCTCATCATTGATATTTCTGTCTCTCTCTCCCTCTCCCTTCAGCTCAGAAATCAATTAAATATATATATGTGTGTGTGTGTGTGTATATATATATATATATATATTCCTGCTCTTACAGAATTTATAGTCTAGCAGTGGAGATAGACAAACACGAGTACTTGATTTGGTCATAGGTACTTTCGCTGGTTTGTTTGTGTGGGAAGATGAGTGCCATGGGAAAGACAGGTTCAGACTCTCTCCCTGTCCTCATACCTGATCAGTTTGCCGTTTTCCACATAGTACTGTACTCGGAAGTGGATAATCATAGGAGGTCCAAACTGGTCAATACCCTAAAACAGAGTCACATAAAAATCAAGCTATTTTCAGTTGCTTCAACAGTGGATTTCAAAAGCAATCACTTACCACTATTTACAAGCTACTTTTTAAACACTGAAAGGTTTTATCTACTCCTGGTGAGTGTGGCCTTGCGGCGGGCAGACAGTTGTCCCATATGGATACCAGATTCATGCACAACCGGGAAGTCATAAAGCATCATTACTGTATCTGATACCCATTCACTGTAATGCCAATGACAACAGAAGGGGAGATAAAAATAAATGCCAGTGGAAATTTCTAGCTGAGATCCAGCTCCTTTCTCAGCTCTGTCCCCTGCGGTGACCATTTGCTCCTCATTACAAATGTTCTCTTGTTCCTCTGACATTCCACATGCCAAATTCTAATATGCTGTTTGTTTATTTAGACATTCATGCTCCTTACTTTGTAGTAAGCTTTGAAGTGGCCTTCCAGTTTATTCCAAGAATTCTTAAATACAAATTGGAGGCTCTAGGATCAGACACTGGGGATTTACTCCTGACTTAGGAGGCTGATCCTGAGAACACTGAGGTAAATCCCCGTGAGTGCTCCCCCGTGTAAATAAAAGGACCAGCACAATAAAGTAACAAAGTATCAAATGTAAGGATAGTAAAAGTAGATTCAGAAGTTGCTAATACTATTTAGAACAACAGTTTGGACAACTCACACAGCCACAAGAGAGAACATGTACTTTTCCATACTTTTCGTTTCAATGCCTTATCCCATGATTATTGAAAAGGTATTATCCAGGATTACTTAAACAGATATTCCAAATCTAGTTGTATGCTATAAGCTATTCATGCTTCATTAAGGTGACATTTTAGAACTTTGAAAATGCATTTCCCTTTCCCGTTCTCGATTGTATAAAATGTTGTTGACAATATTTTTAATGTAGAATGGCTAAAATAAACCTTTTAAGAAATCAAAATAATTTTGCTCATAAATGTAATCTCACCCAAGAGAATTCGTATTGTCGTACCTTGCTGGCCTCTTTCTTCCATTCCTTTGGACAATACTTATAAAGCTTCTGTGACAGCTCCATATACACATGCTCATTATCTGAACATTAAAAAGAGGAGACAAGGTGATAAAAATGTTTAATTTTTTTTAAAAGAAAAGAATACACGAAGAAACAGGTTTTTCAAAGAAAGCCTCAAGATTTATGAATGTACTCTGAATTTACATACTACCAAGAAAATGCAACAAGATACTAAGACATAAGTCCTGTAGGCTAGACAATAATGAGGGCCTTTATGAATTATTTTGCTTTTTGTAATACCGTACACATACTATTAATATAGTTTCCTACTTGTACTTAGTTGCGAGGGTCAATACGGCTTACAATCTAACTTCCAACACTGGACGTTACTTGGTTTTACCAAAACATGCTTTTGTTTAGCTCTCAGAAGACTCTTCTCACATGGGCACGATAATGAAAGAGTGCAGAAACACCATCCTCACTGCTGTGTAAGAAATCAGATAACGCTGATAATAATCACACATTTTCAAGTGGGGGGCCTGACCCGGGCTTCATGAAGAGCAACCCTCGAGTATTCTCCCCATACAACACAGCGTGACAAAACGGTGAACCATTACTCACACTGCCTTTGGGACTGGTCTTGTGGGAAGAGGAGAAGAATCTTATGCAAAACAAGAATGAATGCCAAAAGATTTCTTCAGAAAATGAGACAGCTAAAAACCCATGTCAAAGCGATCTAAACATGTGAAAACAAGCTAATAAATATAGAAGTTTTTCAGACTTCTCAAAGAGACTCTTTTTAAGAGAGATTTATTTCACAAGAAAAGCCTTCAGCATTCCTATCTTGTACAAAAGTTTTCAATCTTTTTTTCTTTCTTTTTTTTTTCCTTAAAAGCTTATTTCTTTTTCTCTAATCCTCACCAAGGGGGCGGGCTCGTGGGAAGCTCCACTTAAAAATGTCCTCCTTCTGAAAGGGAAGTGTATTCCTTGGACCACTCCAGGGATGGCATACGTGACCACACTGTCACTCCTGGCTGAATGCTGGGGTTCGACTGGGAAAGTGCCAGAAGAGAACAGGAAGGGGGAAGCCACTCTTTGTCTGTAACTGGCAATATTAAACCAACCAATGTGCATGACAGGGAGAGGAAAAGGTCCCAGGGAAAGAAAGATGTTTCTTAACTTATCAGACTGATTAACACCATCACTCATCTCGCCCGCGTTACTGATTAAACACGAAATGGACAAGATCAGACAGCCTTCCCGTTGAACCTGATTTGTTTGGCTTGAGTTGCCGTCTGAAGAAGCAGCCCAATGAGTAGAACCGAGACTGCTCACCATACAGCACATGCACAGTTTTCAAATGCCACTGCCCCTGCCATCTGACAGTCTGACCAGAGCTTCATTCTTTAAGAATTCTCAAGCACACACCAGTCCTGCAAAGCAGGTGGCACAGCAGTTTCCATTTGACATGTGAGAAAACTGAAACTGGGGAAGTCAAGCGACATGTCTAAAGCCACATAGCAAGCTGCAGAACCAGAATTAGAACCAGGTCATCAGATTCCTGTTCCAGCGTTCTTTCGCCATGTTACAATCTCTCTTTTAAAAAGAACACCTTAAAGTCCCTTCTTTCGAATCCGAAGGAAGGTGTAAACTGGTTTTATTAGACTGACTTGTTCAACAACAAAGATCAACAGTCTGCTTATGTAGTAAGAAGAACGAACCTCAGTACAGAGGAAACGTGAAGTTATTCAGGACCCACAGGGCGCCTTATTTCCTCCCAGACCCCGTCTTGAAAGAATGACTGAGGTATGTACTAACGCTGGGATGGAGCTGAGCGTTTGTGTTTTTATTGCTTTAACTACCATGGGAAGAAAGTGAAGAGCAAACGGTTGATTCGTGGGTTCCTGACATGTTCCCTGCTCTGGCCTCACCTAAAAACACCGACAACAGCTCACATTTGGGAGAAGAGCTTTGCTTACCAGTTGATCATGACACACTTTCCAATCTGACAGATCTAAGCGTTTTATGGTACTGACCGTTTTCTCAAGGTATCATAAGCCTTTACATTTAACCAATCTCTGTAGCAAAAAATAATTCATATCCAAGTGTAAATATAACAACATTTCACAAAAAATTCTCCTTGAAAAACTGAACAAAGATATGAAAGGTTTTTGGTATTTAGAAGATTAAATTAGAGGGACTTTTAAAAAAAAAATTTTATTTTAGAGAAAGAAAGGGAGAGAAAGACCTCAGTGTAAGAGAGAAACATTGATCGGTTCTGACTGAAACTCAAACCAATTGAGCCACACCAGACAGGGCCTAGATAAATTTTAATTACTATTTGAAAGAAGAAAGCTTATAAGGAATGTCCACAGGTAAACCCTGGACCTTAACTCTAACTGGCTAAGATGGTAGGGTTGAGAAGCCCCTTCCTCGACAATCTTCTCCACATGAAGTATACAGAGGAAACTGATCCCATATCTCAAAGTTATAGATTCTGACTGGAGAAAAGAGAAGGAGTAAGGAGGAACAAACAGGAAATAAGAGTAAATTAACAGGGCACTTTGTTATACAGTCAATAGCAAGTGAACCTAAATAGAGGAAAGTCAGTTTCATTGTGTCTACATTTCTTTTCATGCCAAAAATTCTAAAACAAATTAAATTACTAAAATAGCCAAGCTAATTTCCTATTAGCTCCAGCTGCTCCCTCTGTGCAGGGAAACAAAAATCAAGCTTGGTTCATTAAAACATAAAAGAGCAAACACATAAAATCCAGACTCCTAAAGAGGAAAGAACTTTTAAGTTCAAACTACAATAAATAATGATCTAACATTCGAAATCTTGTAAAAAATACACAAGACTTCAGTTTAAAAAATGAATACTAGACTAAAAATGATTATCAGTTTACAGGTATTTTTGGAATCACAATTTCATAACATATGCCCCAACTTAAGTGACAGGTATAAAATGTCATTTCCTTTGGCATAGTTGGCTGAATCCATCAGAGATGCGGATAAGACTTACTCTGTATAACACTGAGTCCAAAGAGGTGACAGTCCTTTAGCCTGAGTAGGTCACACACCTGGACCAGCAACTGGTGACACAGAATTTTAACCTACAGGGGGGGAAAAAATACAACTTGAGATAATAATTCAACCAAGTCCACATAGTGAGCCACAACTGGGCAATTTAATGCATCCTAAACCAGTGATGGCGAACCTTTTCAGCTCGGCGTGTCAGCATTTTGAAAAACCCTAACTTAACTCTGGTGCCGTGTCACATATAGAAATTTTTTGATATTTGCAACCAAATCAAACAAAGATTTATATTTTTGATATTTATATGCCATTTAACAAAGAAAAATCAACCAAAAAAATGAGTTCTCGTGTCACCTCTGACACGCGTGCCATAGGTTCGCCATCACTGTCCTAAACAGATTCCTGGAAAGGATAAGCTGACACTAGAAAAACAACTGTTAGGTTTATTGAAAGTGTCTACTTTGCCCTATCCAGTCTGGCTCAGTGGATAGAGCACTGGCCTGCGGACTGAAGGGTCCCAGGTTTGATTCTGGTCAAGGGCACATGCCCAGACTGCGGGCTCAATCCCCATTAGAGGGTGTGCAGGAGGCAACTAATCAATGATTCCCTCTCATCACTGATGTTTCTATCTCTCTCTCCCTCTCCCTTCCTCTCTGAAATCAATAAAAAAATATATACAGTAGGTTTTCGGTTTATGTTGGAGATCCCTTCCTTCGGCGTGACATAATGCGATTTTCACCGTAAATGAGAACCCACCTACATAAGCACCTACGTCACTCACATGGAGCACATACACAGCAGTAATGAAGTGAAACAGTAAAAAAAAAATTAAAAGATAACAATTCCTGACCTTTACTTGTGGTAAATAATAAAAAACATAAAGCACATATGTACATACGATGAAATCACAGAACTTTTTTTTAAATAAATAAATGGGAGATGGCGACATAACCACAAAACGACATACGTCGAGTCCTACGTAGCCCGAGGACTGTCTTGTCTGTCTGTATGTGTGTATGTATATATGTGTATATATATATATACACATATATATATATACACACACACATATATATGAGGTTCAGTACACGAAAACTGTGCAAGAGTAGGCCTTCCTTCCCCCAGCTGCTGGCACTAGCTTCCCTCTGGCACCGAAGACCTGGGCTTCCCTTGGGTCGCCGGCAGGCACCTGGGACCCAGGCTTCCCTCGCAGCCCAGGCTTCGTCCAGAAGGTTATCCGGAAGGACGTCCAGACTAATTAGCATATTATGCTTTTATTATTATAGATATATACAAAATCAACCACTTTAATCTGTGGCTGAGTGTCAATAATGATTATCACAATACAGATTTTTACACATGGCAATAAAGTCCCAATGCAATCTGTAGAAAACTCATAAATCTTATGATACTTGGGCAAGGCCTTAGTCTAAACCCATTATGGTATGTGATAAATATTTCGGAAGGAACCCAAAACAGCCTACTCAGATTATCAAATTTGGCAAGTATAAGGAAAGTTTTCCTCGTGACAGCCTAAGCAAAATACTCATATATTGTACAATACATGAATGCCTAGCTCTTATTTATCTTAACTAATCATTTTATTGTCTTATACTTTTAGGTACCTAAACCAGGTTCCCTTTCTGAATTCTAGTATAAATCAAATATAAAACCACATTAATTTGAAATCCTGGGAGTAAATTATTCTGAAAAGTCACATGTTGAATGATAAAACAGTCCTTAAAAGATATAGTTTTAAGGCTTCTCAAATATTTAATGAAAGGTTTTGGGAGATAGAAATTGTGCTGAGTATACCTTGTTGAATTCAGAATGATGAAAACTCATTAGAGTTGGAATTGACTTTAAGAGACCCAATTGGTCAACTGCTTCATTTTATAGAAATAAAAAAATAAGATCCAGAAAGCTTAAGGTCAAGTGACAAAGGCAGCAATTCACAACTTTGCTAATTTGTGTACTGTAATATGATTATTCTATCTAATAAAGAGGGAATATGCTAATTGACCCTCATGCCATTGCAAAGATGGCAGTGCCCACAGCCAATAAGGAGGGAATATGCTAATTGACTGCCACATCCTCAAAGATGGTGGTGTCCACAACCACAAGATGGCAGTGCCCAGTCCCCTCAGCCCCCCCAGCCACCCAGATCTAGCCCAAGGCACAGGCAAGCCTTGGATGGCGGCTGCCCAGCCACCCAGGGCCGCCTGAGGCTCAGGTAACCAGGGCCGGCCAAGGCTTGCGCTGCCGGCAGTGGCAGCAGCAGAGGTGTGATGGGGCATCACCTTCCCCTGATTGTTGGGTTGCCTCCCGCCCCTCAGGGCTCCCGGACTGTGAGAGGGGGCAGGCCGGGCTGAGGGACTCCCCCCTCCAGTGCATGAATTTTCATGCACCAGGCCTCTAGTACGTATATATTAAAATATGTGCAAAGTGACAGTTTATCATTTCAGCTCTATCTATTATGGGTGGCATTTCATTTCTTGTTTGTACTATAACTTGCAAATTCTGTCTTCAATGATAATAGGACAATTATAGTTTTAATTACTATAAATTTGAAATTAGTTCATTCTGAATTAACGACTTTTTATCATTACCTTAATATGTAACTCAGATTCGGAGAATAAAAAGATGCTGAAATTCCTTGATAACTGACAGCCAAACAGTTCAGAATAGTGAAAATGACAAACAGTGAGAAAAATAGGCTTGCTACTCTTTTCCACATCCATCACTAGCCGGCAACTCATCTACAGCACCTTATCCGCTGGAAAGCGCAAAAGGTCTTTATGTTAAGGCCAGAGACAAATTCAGGGGCTTAGGAAAGGTGTCCTATTTATACTCAGGACATACAGTAGGCTCTCCGTAAATATTTGATGAATGAAAGCCAGGAGTCTGATTTCCCTGTGCGCTCCTTTTGATCTGTCCCACGACTCCAGGCTCCTCTCTGACCACCGAGTAGACAGACCATGTAGTAAATGGGAAAATGTGCGAATGCAAACCCACCAACACCCCTGGGAGAACACATGTACCACTGGGAAACCATCATCCTCTTCATTCATTAAAAGGACTTTGGATTTTGGGTTCTATAGCACCAAAATTCCACTTTACAAATACGCTTCAATAAGCAGACTGGTAGAGGGAAAAGTATCAGATGTTACATAAAACTGAACTATATACTACAGATTTGAGACTTAGAATGCAACAGCCTAGGGCACCTTTAATTCTTAGTTTTGACTGTAGCTAAAAATGTCATACACAGAGCTTTTAGGATAAAATGTGCTGAAAAGTTCACAGAAGAATTCTTAAACCACAAACTGTCCATAAACATAACCTAGATTGTATTGTGTAACTGCTGTTCAAATAATGCTGTACATTTCCTCTACACTTCCCATATAATTATTATTATTCTTGTTCTGCATGTTAAAATCAAGCACTTGGGAGCATATTGATAAAGCTCTTTAACAACTATCAGGTAAGCACAATGTTCTTGTTTAAAAACTGCAATTAGCAACGCTGTGCTCCGAAGTCTCACCTGCCCTGAGAACAAGCTTGGGCTTAGTCTGAGTCTTCTACGGCAACACGATAGCTGTTGCGAAACTGTTCATTATTTAATCTTCAGGAGCAACGGGAACTTTACAAAGTGCTATAGAGTATGAGGTCTTAAGAATTAAGGCATTATCTAAAAATATACTCTACATGGAAGTTTTTGATAAAAACAGTATTTGATCCTAAATATCAATGGTTTGTTTTGAGCAGAAATGTTTAAAATATGTTCCAGAAAAGAAACCAAAAAAGCTCTTCACTCTGGTCTTAGTGAAGAGGTACAAGTTCTTGGTCACAGTTTACATCACTCAAAAATTTTGTGGCTCTTACATTTGGCATGATTTATTCCCCAAATTTTCCAAGTTTCCACATTTAATATTCATCTGCTGATTAAAATCATTTAAAACCGCCCCTATCAGTTCAACTCGTGGAGAATTCGGAATGATCAAGACACTAAACTTATCCCACCTACAGAAGATAACATTCTATCACTATGCTTGTCAGGGAGTAAACTGTCTTTGCTTAAAACACTATTTACAAATGATGAAAAATTAGACCATTAATGAAATAGATTCTGCTACAGTTAATTTGT